ATTATAATATATGCAAAGCATGGTATTGCTTGCTCTATAGAATCAAAGGCTGTAAAGAAAATTTATTCAGGTCCCAAAGTTTTAGAAGCGGTTTTGTTTAAATGTTTCAATATTAATATTCTGGTTCTATATAGAAATTCAGCTTTCTCTGTCAGACAATTAATTGTAGAACTTCAGGAAGTCCTTACTTCTGAGTTAGGCAATCAAAATGTGCTAATTGTTGGAGATTTTAACATTTGTTTAATGTCTACAGGGACTGTAATAAGAAATCTGCTCCAAGAAAAAAAACTTTAGTTCCCTGCTTGGTGCAGAATATTCAACTACACCTGCCGGGTGATTGGGCATTTTCAAATATGGATCCTTCCCGTGTAAATGCAATTACTTTTGAGACAGTACACAGCTATCATGACAGTATTTGTGTCTCTATTTCGAACTATAGTTCTTAGACTTAGTGCAATAGTTCTTCATTTTTTTTCCAAATATAATCGAATTTGAATGGTATAAGAATTTTGACAGAAGTTTTTAAGACAATTTTAAGAAAAATATGTAAATAATCTAATTAAGAAAATTTAAATTATATATATAATTTGTTATTATGTATGACATTATTGTATAAATATATGATAGAAATTAAATAGTATAAGGAAAAAAGAAATATAATTTGGATATATGTATAAGAATCTCTACAAAAATTTTTAAAGTTGTTAATATTTATTATATTTAAGCTAAACATGTATAATAATATCGACATAATAAATAAAAAATGTTATTCATTGTCCAAAAGCGATTTCTTTTCATACTTCTCAATACAGTTGTAATGCATTCTATATAAAATCAATTATAAGCGTATACAAAAGCACAAGAACAATTTCTCATAATTTGATTAAATTTAGTTTACAATTTGCTCTAATTATTTTCACTGTGAGTGAAAAGTAAATAACTAAGGCAACAGTTCCTACTTCTAATTATTAAAATATATAAAGAAGTCTCAAACGAATATATCATTTAACTTTGCGAGAGTATAAAATCTTCGGTTACATCCGAACTTAGCCCTTCCTTACTTGTTTTATTATTTAGTTATCTTAAACTTGTAATTTTCACACAAATTAAATAGCTTTTTAAAGAAATTAATGGGAATTGGTCGAAATTAACAGTTATAACTTATATTCATAAAAATTAAGATAGATTAGATATTAAGATAAACGTCATAATCTATTCTCTAGTAATGTTGATAAACAGAAGCACAGAATTGTTGAATGTTCATAATGAGAAGATGAATTTGAAAAAGATTACAGCTTTATTAATTAGTAAGATCGTTTTATTTGCTGTTATGAAGATTTAAAACTGAAACGATAAGTCGCATCATATATGTTAGGGAATTGTTTAATGAGGATGATTTATGTACCCACTCATTGCTTTAATAGCTTTAATGCAGAAAAACTTGTGGACAGAAATTAGGGTTTATCTAATAACGAATTCGATGATCCCATTTTCCAGTACTTTTTCCACTAGTCGTATGTCATGAATGGCACACTCAAGATTGACTTCTAAAGCTTGAAGAGAGTCTGGTTTATTGTTAAAGACCAATAACTTCAAATAACCCCACAAGAAGTAGTCTAATGCTGTTAAATCACAACTACTTGGAGGCCACTCTATTTCTTGAAATGATCGAATCTCCAAACTTTTCTCGGAATAATTCGGTTGTTACACGTGCTGTGTGGCTTCAGTTCTTAAGTGAGAACAATTTTATACGGATGTAAGCCCAAACCCTTTCTCAAAATCCGCCAGATTGTGATTTGAGATGATTATTTTGATAATAAAGTTGAATAATTTGTAAACGTTGTTCTTGCGTATATCTTTCCATGATGAAATTGTACACATTACTGAATACAATGAAAAGAAATAACAGATCATGACATATTAAAAATTACCGAAACGACACTTAGAAATCGTATCAACTCTATTGGAAAACCCTTTATTTACATGCAATAGAATTATAAACAAACATACCTAACGAGATGTCTACATACATATGAAGCATGTTGATTAAAGGAATTGTAAATCGAATGGATACACTCAAAAACATATTTACACATAAAGAAGAAATAAGCTCATATCACTTATGGTAAATAGATGTATACATATGTATGTTATCCCTTTTTATACTCTCGCAACCTGTACCTACAGAGTATAATAGTTTTGTTCACTTAACGGTTGTTTGTATCACTTAAAACTAATCGAGTTAGATATAGGGTTATGTATATATAAATGATCAGGATGAAGAGACGAGTTGAAAATCGGTGACTGTCTGTCACCTCTCTAACTTGAGTAAAAATTGAGATATATTTATGAAACTTGGTAGACATGTTTCTTGGTACCGGGAGACGGTTTGTATTGCAGATGGGCGTACTCCGACCACTGCCACGCCCTCAAAACGCCATTATTCAAAAACAAATAAATTGCCATAACTAAGCTCCACAACAATATACAAGAATCTTATTTGGTATACAGGATCACAATAGGGTGGGGCATCTGCAGTTAAAAAATTTTTTTAAAGTGGGCGTGGTCCCGCCCCTAATAGGTTTAGTGTGCATATTTCCTAAACCGCTAATGCTATAACAACAAAATTCACTGGAAGCAAATGTTTTAGAACCTCTATCTACAGTGTGAAAATGGGTGAAATCAGGTGGCAACTCCGCCCACTCCCCATATAACGGTACTGTTAAAAACTACTAAATGCGCGATAAATCAAGCACTAAACACGACAGAGGCATTAAATGTTATCTCTGGGATGGTATGAGATAACTTTATAGGAACCGCGTTCAAAATTAGACAGTGGGCGTGGCACCGCCCACTTTTAGGTGAAATCCCATATCTTGGGATCGTTTTGGTTCGATTTACTTTCGGAACACACGATTGTATATTAACACAATACGCGACGGCGGCGAATTTCTCCCACCATGACGATTTTTGAGATAGAGCTATTTCTAATTTTATCGCCGACCGAACGGCATCACCATATCAAAGAAAGATTATTTTCAGTAAAAATATTAAGGAGTTTCAAAAAAAATGTAAGTAAATGTCTGCGTTGGCAATATTAAGATTGTTTATGTTTGGTTTCGTCATTTATTGTGATATTTTGGAGCGCTGAATACACACTATCTGCGACGAAAATCGTCCGTATTGTGTTTTACACGCCGGCAACACTCGGCGAAAATCCGTCCGACGGCGTCGCCGAGTACGACGAATATTCGTTGTCGCCCGTATTGTGTTTAAGCTATTATTTAACAAATCTTCGCATTTTTACTAAAAAGAGTCACTAATTTCATTGCTCTCGTGTAAACATTTTTTTCTAAAGTACACACGAAAGACTAAAATGTGAAACCGCAACTTCGTCAATTATTTAGCAAGAGTGTAAAACTTAATAATATGTTTATATTATTTTATTTCATTTGGTAATTCAGAACCCAACATGTTTTAAAAATCTGAATTTCATAGGTGAAAAAAATCTCAGTTTACAAAATTTATTTATTTTTTACTTGAGGTAAATGACCGCGTTCATTGAAAAAGTGAAATTAATTTACGAAAAATATAGATACATACACATTACATAAATTTCTTACAATCACTGAAAATTACCGGAGGATTCGGTTCATTTGTTGACATCATAAAGACCGAAGCACATTAGGTGAAAATAAAAGACTTTCAATGTCAAGTTCGTTAATTACAATTGCAGACAATTATCTGTGCCAAATTTCATGAAGATATCTTGCCAAAAAAAGGGTTTCCATACAAGAACTTTATTTTGATCGTTCAATTTGGATGGCAGCTCTATGTATTCTATAGTGGTCTGATATCGGCGGTTCCGATAAATGAGCAGCTTGGGGAGAAAAGACCGTGTGGAAAATATCAGAGCGATATCTCAAAAACTGAAGGACTAGTTCGAGCATATATAGACAGACGGAAAGACGAATATGGCTAACGCCACTCTGCTCGTCACGCTGATCATTTATGTATATATATGTACATATATATATTTTATAGGGTCTCTGATGTTTCCTTCTGGGTATTATAAACTTCGTAACCAACTTAAAATACTCTGTTTAGGGTATAAAAAACATTAAAGGCAGTGGCAACTCCAACTCCAAAGCAAGAACAATATAATAATCATTCTACTCATAATTAACGCCAACAAGCAATAACTAGAACGCAGGGAGTGATACTTAAGGGTATCCGAACGTACATAAACTGCAGGAGGAACGAAGGCATTGGGGTGAGGGTAACGGCAATTTCAGCGCGCACTTGAGAGCTAGTAAGTGCGTTGAGTGCAACATATGGCCGAGGAGTCAACGATGACACGAACTATCATTTATTTTTCTTTTGATGTATCCTTTATAGTTGTTGTTGCTCGTATTTTCCATACTTGCGGTGCAGCAGTTCTAGAGAGGCACAACCCGTAAAAGTCACAAATTATACGATCGCATTCCACGATAGCGGCAATTTGATGAAGAAGCAGCGTAGAGGCAGGACGGCCAAGCGCAGGTTATACAAAGGTGACTTGCACAAAGGCCAACCCTTAACTCACGTTCAGGTAATAGCCGGAGCAGTACGAAGTGTGGCACTGATCCTGCCGCTACTGATATGTTAATTGTGATGATCCTTAAATTAACTGTTTTACATTCCGCCTATCGCACTTTTTCAATGTAAAATTTTATTTTGTTTTTTTCTTGCTCTGTTTGTATATATTGCGGCTAGCTAACGTTTCTGCGACCATATGGTCAACACCGACACAATAAGGGATGTCTGCCGCGCGCGCTCGTGTCACTCGCGTGCCAGTTGGTCAAAAATTCATTTTCAGACCATCAGCGGGGATTCCGACAGCCAAATGGTCGCTCGAAGCCACGACGATGAACAGTTAAACAGTTGGCCTTTAAAATATTTTCGATGACTGAGTGTATTTGAACACTTCAATGTCGAAAGTAGCTTAGACGAGCAAACAGTCCATGTTGAAACACAGTGAAGTGAGGATCAAAAGAATATGAACTTGAACGCCAGCTCTTTTGTAATACAGCAAAAGATCTTAAAGCAACAAAGTCAACAATCGCACTTGATTCACACATTTCCAAGGAATTTTAGCGATTTCTCTTATGCATCCTCCGAGGAGGATGGCTCTCAACACTGCACAAGTAGCCCCAGCTATGCGGACATCGATGTGGGGGGCTGCAAAGAGTATTGTGAAATGTTACGCGACTGGCCTTCAGCTGTAAGTTATATGCACAGCAACCCATCACAACAAATCACTGAAGCAGAACTCTATCAAACCTACATCTATAACTCGGCGCAGCAGCAGCAGCACTATGAATTTAACACCAGCATAGGTTCCTGTAATGAAAGTGGATCTACCAGCACCACACCCAGTGTGTCTGGTTCACCTGTCACCACTAAATCTGGTAAATCCAACAGACGCTCTGGCGGTCATCTCCGCAGAGAATTTCGGCCGAAAAGGCCAGACACCGCTTTGAAACCTCCTAGCCCGACTGTGCTTAAGCGGCGGCGTCAAGCAGCGAATGCACGCGAACGCAAACGCATGAATGGTCTGAATGAGGCTTTCGACCGGCTGCGGGAAGTGGTGCCCGCTCCGACGATTGATCAAAAGCTGTCCAAATATGAGACGCTCCAAATGGCGCAGACTTACATAACAGCACTTTGTGAGATGCTGGAGAACGGGCTCACCACAGCCAACTATATAATCCATCGTGGCGATCAAATAACGTTCCAAGAGGATATTCGGCTGCAGTGAAATCAAAGCACAACAACGGTAAATGAATGAGAAATGAGTAATAGGAGATGTGCTGTGCAGTTCTAAACCAAAGCAAACCGCAGCATGGCTGGAGTTCCCGCCATGCTTTCGTTAGTGTTAAGTGAATAATGAAATACTCTTAACTAAATTATATAAAAATAAGTGCTTTAAATTAAAATTTTAATAAATATGTGTGATTTTACAATATATAATTAAAGAAGACGTATAGTTTGTTTGCTATATTTCTGTTTGAAAACTGAAGACCTTCTGTTTCGGCTCTATTCAAATATAGTGAATCTAGATAAATTTCTGCAATTACAATTTACAATTTTTTTTAAATATAATTCTATGATTTTGAAAGATGAAAGCTAAAGAACGAGCTGGTACAGCGAAGTTGTATCTATATGGCAACACATATTCATGTTACATAACCTTATAGAAAAAAATAATGTACTACGACTTTTCAGAACATATAATTATTTACATTATGTCACAATAAGTGTTCTTTCTGTCAAAAAAGGATGAAATCGAGCCGATTCCGGTGGAATTTATAGCGTAAATAATCAGTAAATATGTATCTTAGCAAAATGAAGCAAACATATAATATTGCATATACCTACTTTAGTTTAATGACGAAAACATGTGAAATTAATGCAAGAACTACATATCTCAACCCACATATACTATATATAATAATTTTGGTTATTCTACAGACTTTATGTCCAATATGGCGGTCAGTCCGGATCGTACCTAGCCCCATTATACGCGATATAGTGATTTCCATCAATTTTTGACGTTCTACCTGAATTTAAACCGTTTATGTTGGTCAAGAAGTGTTATATTTAAATGAAAGTAACTGGAATTCTTAACTATAGTGTGGATGAGAAAGAAATAGGTCTAAACCTTGCTCCTCATATCCCTACTAAAATGACTTCCGATTATTTGGTTGGATTTTTCCTTACATATCCCAGTTTAAAGTTTAGCCTTTTTGGTCGATATCTTATTTGAGTTAATTAGGTTGAAGATAAATACTTCGGACAAGAATCAAATGTAGTTAGCCATTGACCTATACAATGTATACGATAATAGATATCAAATGTGATTATAATTTTTAAATAAATTATAATTAGTGCACGAATGAGGTCTGATTCAGTTATAACAGCTATGTACGTGTGAACGCTTCACACAGGTCAAGGCGTCGCTATCACACACAAGAAACTGCTGGAGGGTTCACCAATTCACTCACGTTATGTCAGTCGTGACGTACAGTTTAACTGTCAACTGACCGTCACTCTTTTTGCTAAAACGAGACACCTGCGACTTATAATGCTTACCATAGATTTACATATGTAAGAATAAAATAGCTGAATAATTTAGTATTTATTTATTTATATTTTTTGTTGCATTCCTTTTTATATTATTGTATATTATTATAACAAATTTTAATTAAAAGTTTTAAATTTATTAAATAAATACAAATTTTTTTTATATACTGCCCTAAAGAATTTTTCACTTGATATAATTACAGTCATAACTGACAAATTGCAGCTATGATAGCTTTCAGTCATTGCGGACAGTTTTTCAGATTTGATGGATTTGTGGTCAGCAATGACTCAGAAAAAGGCATGAATGTGAGCAGTATAGATATATAGTGAATAAATTCCGAATACCTATGTGTTAAAAACCGATTCAAACTCACACACATACGTTTGTTTACCTCAGTTTTTGCACACGGCAATTAAGAAAATGATAGAAAGTTATGTTTTGTTCATTTTGTACCTAGGGAAAAATATTAATCGAAAAAACAAGACTTTGTAAATTAGACAGAGACAAATTTGCATTATCACCCATTTGTAACACTTAACTATCCTCTTTGAGAATAACTATTGTCTTATTATTGTTGCGATATTGGCTGAAACATAAAGTATGTATACAGTTGGGTTAGAAGTTTCGTAAAGTAATTGTTAAGTAAAATATTATATTATCATATATTATGTATCTACGTGGACAAGAGAAACGGTCGTACCGATTTCATTTATTATTGACTTCAAACACCCTATGAGAGATGAAATACTTCTTTATACCTACGTATATTATTAATACGAGAGCCAAGAAAGGATATGCGGTTTCATAGTTACGATATTTCAGTTTAATTTCGACGCCATTCAAAACGGCGTCATATTGGAAGTACTTGAGATTGTAGTATGACTTGCCCCTTTTTCACACTATATTATAAGATTCCAATGGGGAAATGTTTTAAATATAAAAAAGTGGGTTGGTCTGCGCCTAGTTTTGAACTGATCCACATTCCAGCCTGTCGTTTGTTAAACCTAGTAAAGACCCCCTACTTTGGAAATTTTCAGTTTTGTATTTTAATTATATTATTAAATAGAGTACTATTGCTAAGATTTTAAGACTATGACAAAATCAAGATATCTAATTTTCTACTTTTCGAACTTAAATCGTCTCGCTTTAGTTATAATTTTGATATAATATACATAACCCTATATCTATATTGATTAATATTAGATGTTAAACAGCTACAACGCATATGTGCAATATGTAAATGTGTTACTTTGGATTTCACCAATTTTCCAATGTACTCGTATGAACCACCTTCAATGAAAATAAGTTTGCAGATATCTCGAACAACGTGTAATGATTTCATATAATTTGTATTAAGTTATTTATATAATTACTAGCAATATTGCACCTAAGCAAATTCGTTGCAAGCAAACAATAATCTAATAAATCTAGTTTAAAAGACTAAAAAACACGCTTTTAAAGCACTTCAAACTTAATAGTGAAAAATAATTCCTTACACCTATAAACAGACGGTGGTGCCACGTGGACGACATTTTCCAATTTTTACACCTCCTCTTATAAAGCTTTTCCTTAACATCATATTCCTTAACATCGGTTTGTGCAATTTAATGCTTATGGCTTATTTATTTAGTGAGTTATCGCATTTTTAGTAGTTTTCAACACAACCGTTATATGTGGAGTGGACGTGGTTATTATCTGATTTTACCCACAGCGTATGAAAAATTGCCTAAAAGACTTCGTCTCAGCAAATTTGGTTGAGTTATCTTCAGCGGTTTGGAAGATATGTACATATAACCATTAGGGGGCTACGGCCAGTTTAAAAAAAATTTCAGCCAATAGTTGTCTCTTGTTATTGCGCTGCCCTGTTCCAAATTACAGTTCGGTATCTGAATTCAGTGCTTAGCTATGGCACTTTATCGGTTTTCTTTTAATGGCGTTTTGTGGGCGTGGCAATGTCTCGATTACGCCCATCTGCAACACCGACCTCTCTTTGGTATCGAGGAACATATGTAGCAAGTTTCATCAAGATATCTCAATTTAAAACAAAAAAAAAAAGTTTCAAACATACAAACTCTCATTCAAACGTCGCGCTTATTTAACTCGCTACTCAGCAATGAAATTAAATTAGTCAATCAATCAAGCATTCAATAAAGGCGGTTAAAAATTATAGAAAAATTAGCAGCAGTTCAACGAGGAGCAATCAATTAACCACCCAAAACGAGCATGGCTATAGAGAGACCCCTTAAGAAATAGCGTAAAGTAAAATTTGTGGAACAAAAATTTGAGCACAGAAAATGAATCAATGATGCATAACGCCCACCACCAGTCGAACAGATAACTACAAAAATTGAAAAAGCCGGGGGTATTTTTATATTTTACATACTAAAATACGGAAAAAAACTTCAATACACGTACATTTCATTTTATATTAAAATAACGGTAATAAAGTATGTGTATGTGAGCTTTTTAAAGTTTTCTGATAGAGATTTATGATCAAATAAATTTAGATGATTTAAAGAAAATAGAATTTTCAAAGAACACAAAATGGAGCTAAGTACGGCTCTGATTTTGATAAAAAAACCTCCTAAGAGATAGTTTTTCTTAAAAACTGTATGTAAGTATTATTAATATAAGTATTAATATTCATTCTATGCTCCTAATACTTACGGTGATTAGTGCCTATGTATATGGGCAGATTGAAAGCCATTTTTCATAGCAGATCTGAAGAAAACCTTTAATCCTATTTCGACAATCTCGTAACTGTATTTACAGTGAATTTGAAAGTTAAGTACATATTTCAGGTTTCATTAATATTTTAATTAATTTTCCAAAATGCCCTTCCCCTACTCTTATCTACATATGTATGTCAGTATGTATACTCATACACGGAATATACTTGACCTGATATTTAACTTTTTATATTCACATTAAAATAGTAATTTACAGGTTTGCTACCCTTACTGTATATCACGTTACTCACACAAATGCATTGAAGTGCAATAAATAATATCGGTAGGTAAATAAGTAAGAGGGGTGTGCCACCCTGGTGGTTTAGCGGTTTTTGTTTAGTGATATAGAATTCCTATACACTCACTAAAACGTCAGTTACACACGCTGTCACTGTCAAAGAGCGTCTAAAAAAAAAGAGAAAAAATGTTTCGAGGCATATTCGTATATCAACTGTATTTCAAAATTGGAAATGGCAACTTGGAAATGGAACTGGATATAATTTAATTTAGACTCTATGTTCCTCTCTCAACAACTTCTTCTTCTTGATTTATTGTTGCTGAAACTGACCATGTGTTCGCTTCAGTTATAAATAATAAACTAATTTGATTTTGTGAATATATCGAAAAACTGATCCAAATTATTTATCGACTAGATTTCGCGACTCTTATATTATTAAATTTGGTTTTAATATGGAAATATTTTTCCGAGTCGAACTCAAACAAAAGTGTTTAATTCAAAATTTGTTGACAGTAAAAAACAGGAACCATTTATAACGTGCATTGAGTCACGTTAATAACTGAGCGGTGTAATCTGTGTTTCTATTAATGCCCGAGAGTCCGATGCTAGCAAAGAAACCCATTTGCAATGCACATTCCCCTGAGGAAGTTATTGTGACTCCATCTGTTTTAAAACAGCATTTTCAGTAATAAATAGTGCCAATATAATAATTGTGTTCGAGACTCCAAATATTTGCTGTCCGAATTATATCAGGATCATTAATTCAACAAAGTAAAAATTTAATATAATCTATATATCAACAATTACGCAACTAGGTAAAACCAAACTGTGTACACAACCTTCCCTTAAAAATGCAAAGTCGTAATAA